TATATTGTACTCCTCAAAACTTTCAAATTATTACACTTTACCCCCAGAATCACAAAATAAAATTTAATAAAACTCCATAAAAAAAAGTATGGGGTATTACATTGCAGCTGAAATTTTAGTGAAGAAGTAAAATTGCAAAAGTGACATGAAGAAGATGAGTGAATGAGATATTAGGTTTTTTTTTTGGGGGGGAAATTTTGTTTGGCAGGTATACAAGTTTTTTCCCGGTTAAAGTTTAAGAAAATGGTAATACTTTTAAGTGTTATTATATTTTGATTTAGTAACACTTTTAAGTGTTATCATATTTTAATTTAGTAGAATCAATATTATTTCAATACACGCAAATTGCCTACGGGCGGAGAGGCGCTACCTCCTGCACCCGTACCCATTGACCGGGCAATGAGACTCCCGAATGCGTATGTGTAATCCCTTATTGTTGAAGTGGTGGACAACTCCAACACTTGGGAGATGAAACGACACCAAAAATTGACGAAATCACACCGAGAATTAAGGTGAAGAGTCAAGACGGTGAAATAGCTTTTTCAGGCAAGAATTCCAGTCAACCAAGCTTAGGGAAGGTGGATCTGACTTTAGGGAGTATGGACCAGCCCTAAGAATGTCTAGAAGTTGTCGAAAAACTAAGAAATTAAAGTCATCAAGAAGATGAATGGTCACAGATGAAGGAAGCTTAATGGTCGTTGGAATCCAGGAAGGTCTTACGTGATGATGGCCAACCGTTGGAGAAGGAAAATGGTCGTCAAAGGTGGAAGTTGGACGGTCTCTGGAAAATGGATGAAGATGGGTGGACGTTTTTGGATTTGCATAACCTTCCATCTTCCTTTTATACTATTTGTAAAACATTTTAGTTTGGTCCTTACATGAATGAGATGTAACAAAGTAAGGCCCAAATAGTAAATTTGACCCCTAAACAATAAAAATGAGACAAAATCAACCTCATTTCATATTGGCGGGAATAATATTTTGTTTTCCGGTAAATAATTGGGCTTATGGTAACACTTATAAAATGTTATTGTATTTTAATTATATGGTAACATTATAAAAAAGTTACTATATTATTAGATCTATTGTAACACTTTAAAAATGCCACTGTAGATATATTTTCCATAACATTTAAAAAAAAGAGTTACCATTGATATAAAATGTGTTACAAAAAGATAAAGTATTACATATAAAAATTGTTATCGTAACATTTTGACATCCAGTGTTACCATAAATAGTCTACGGTAACACTTTAAGGAAAAGTGCTACTGTCCAGTGTTACTGTAAGCCATTTTTGTTGTAGTGACTAAGATATCCTTCATCCTATCAATACTACTTGCATTGTCCAAAGTAATTGAGAAAACTCTCTTTTCAATTCCTCATTCTTGTAAGAAAGTTGTAACTTTATCTGCCAAAACAATCTTTGAGTGTGGAGGAGGAATATGACAAAAGTTGAGTATTTTACTTTGTAACAACCACTTCTCATCTATGTAATGAGCCGTCAAAGAAATATATCCCTCAGTTGCACCAGAAGTCCAAAAATCATAAGTTAAACACATTTTACTAATAAGCCTCCCTAATTCAAGCTTAGTTTTTTTCCTTCATCCTTTCATATATTTTTAAGCAATCCACCTTAGCGGTGTTCTTAGTATAATGCTCAAGATTCTTACACACATACAAAAAGACTTTCTTAGTTCTTTGATTCTCCACATATGAATATGGATAATTATGTTGAATAATTAATAATGTCATCATCTCATTATAAATCTCTTGACTAATCTTTTTACTTTGCAATTTATGATTATGATCAATCAATAATTGTCTTACATCAGTGTTGCCACGTTTTGGACCATCTCCTATATATAATGCTTCACATTTTAGTCCCATGAGTGGAACTACCACGTGCATAAGTTTTGTTGCACCCCTTACACTTAGCCCTCTCATTCTTATTCTCATCAAAATATATAAAAAAGTAATCCCAAACTTCTGATGTTTTACGTTTACTTCTATAACTAGTTGCAAGAATACTAGTATTGGAAGGAGACGACATTGCCTTAGAGGCATCGCCATTTTCTCTCACATTAACTATATCTATATCTATAGACCCAGAATTTGTCATGTCAATGCTTGAGACTACCTAAACAAAAAATAGATAATTTAAAGGCATGCCAAACACCATAAACTTAAAAACAATCAAAGACATGAATGTATGATGTCCAAAATTTTTAAGGGCGTAATTATAAGTAGATATACAAGGGCATGTAACAATCAAAGGACCACTAACAAAAGAGAACCAAGGAGCAAAAATTCCTAATTGTAAAACTATTGATGTAAAACTATTGTAAACAATCATAAAATAAAATTAAAAAAAACAACCGACAACATGGACCAGAAACATTTCCTACCAAAGACCCAACCATGCATGCCTTAATTTCCAGATTACTGTAATTTAAAACAAAATTAATGCATACTTGATTTCATGTGCTAATCACAATGATGACAATTATATATTAAGTTAATAATGTAAAAATTAAGCTAATTAATCATGTCTAGAACGTATCAGCAGGCAATATTGTTCACAAATCACATCGTACTACAATTTGCATGAAACTCAATCACATATTTAAAAATCAAGTACAACTTCAAATCCTTCAAGTCACAACAATGACACTAAGCACTAATCTTCTCATATAACAATGTCATTTATTTGGCCACAAGTGTTAATGTAGCATGAAAATGTCAGAACCTCAGAATCCACATAAGGGCTGATCAACATATATTTAAGTCACCATCTGAATTCAGTCAAGCCTCTAAGTATATTTACATATTTCATTTTTCATCATGTTTACATAACATTATTATTATGAAAAATCTCTAGAGCAAAAATGACTGAATTCAAACAGACAGCAACCAAGAGAATCTCTGGACCCCGAAGTTCAATTCTCAGAAATCCCAACAAATCTGTGTCACATTATGTTATTTTATAATTACTCTACTCTCCTAATGTAACAAATTTATAGCAATTGCAACAGAACCTTTATCTGTTTCATATTCAACCCGAATAAGATCCAGCATACGTACATAGATAAAGCATTTTTCTGCAACATCAAACCCTAGAACCCCATTTCCAAAGAAAACTGATTCAGCAGATAACATACAATTATGATTCTAGGATTCAATCATGCTTCTTATTGAATGAATGTGCTGCTTTTAAATGTGCAATGAAACTGCTTCATAACAATCACTTATTGATAAAAAGTAAAAACTAATGGGAATAGAAACATACCGGCAGCCTTGAAGAGCAAAACAAAAACAAGACATGGAGATTGGAGTCTGGAGATGAGTGTAAGTGAGCTAAATAGAGGACAAAAGTGAGTGTGAGAGACGAGAGTGAGTGAGTGTGAGAGACGAGAGTGAGTGTGAGTTAGGATACACATACCTTGGATGAGCAGACGTCAAGAGTGGAGACAGGAGAAGCAGCGATGGTGGACTTAGGGATTTCGATGAGTTTGAGGGAAGACTGATGAGAGATTGAGATTGAGAGTGAGTTTGAGTTAGGGATTTCGCGATTTTGGGAAAACTGAAAAGGGAAAAGGGTGCGGCGATTGAAGATGCGTTAGGGAAAAAGTGAGTTTGAGAGACTGCAGACGTCAAGAGTGGAGACGATGGTGGAGCTAGGGATTCTGATGAGTTTGAGAGAAGATTGATGAGAGAGAGTAAGTTTGAGTTAGGTTAGGGATTTTGCGATTTGGGGCAAAATGAAAAGGGTAAAGATTTAAAAAAAAAAAACAAACAAACAGGTACCCAAGGTGTATCTATCTAACCCGTTGGTAAAACAAGCGGACCAAGTACGGATCGAGAAAAATGAGTCTAATGTTAAAGACCCATACTTTATATTTTTAACTCGGGTTTAGGGTCGACCCACAGGTCTTAACTCGTTTTGTTAGGTCTACATGAGATTATCATTGGAAAATCTCTCTTGTATGTTCGATAGTATGATGTCATGTGTGATGTGTGTATATATTAATATTAATTAATAAATATTATAACAAGTTAGATATGCATAGACCATAACCACACCATGTGTTTAGTCTAGTATAACTTTTTCCTCTTTTTCATATTTTTGGTTTTAAAAGTATGAATTCAAAAAAAGGGTTGTTTTTCTAAAACTAAATGAAGGGAGTATTAAAAATATGAAATTTTTGTATATAGTATAGTCCAGACGCATTGAAAATGATAATCAACTTTTCACATGCATGACACCCTCCTCAACTGCACGGACCACAAGCACATGATGTATTTACTGTAGTATAAGATTTTTATTTAGGTATGTGTCAATTCAAGTTCAGTTATGTTTTAGTGTCGCTATTAAACGATGTCATAATCCTCTATCCGTCCTCTCAAGAAAAGAAAAAGAAAAAAAATCAAAAGATAACACTAACTTCTTGCATTTTGATTTTTATTAGAGCATAATTTTCTCAAAATACTTTCTTTAATTCATATTACTGTATGAGAATAACGTTAGCAATAGAAGAGAAACAACGGTCATCCATTTAAAATTTGTATACACGAGAAACAACTTCTTATAGTAGTTAAATTAATTTAAAAAAAAAAAAAACCACTGTTGAGTAGCTTGATTGTAAAAGAGCAAATGAGGATCTAACATAGTTTTCCAAGTTTGAATCCCCTTAATAGTAAAAGAATAAAAGAAGAATCTAATATGACTTCTCAAATTTGAGTCCTCTTGAATGTAAAAGAGTAAGAGGAGGATTTAACATGGTTTCACAAGTTCGAATCCCCACGATTGCTAATAAGGGAGATCATTGGGGCTCTTATCCGGTCAGTAATTTTAGAGTCTCGAGGGATTAGTTGAGGTGTGTATAAGCTAGTCTAGACACCCTCGGTTATAAAAAAATAATAAATAAAAAATGAAGTTAAAAAAAAATATATTTTTTGCTGATAAAAAAAAAAAATAATTAAAATAATTAATCATAGCCATGAATAATAAAAATGTCATCTAATTTTAGATACTTCGAAAGTTAAATGAACAAAGGATCAAAATCCATAGTTGATGTGTACCCCACATCATGAATTCATCCATTTATTTTAGAGTATATATTCTACAAATATCTCATATCAATTGCCCCCAAATAATATTCTTGCCTTTCATGGTATAATTTTCATGTCTCTCAGTCTCTCCACCCACATTCTAATACTCTTGAATGTATCAGCAAAGCCATGAAACCCAAATTCTCTACTCTTATTCATGCTACAAACATGTTGAAAATCAAAATTCATCACAATTTTTAGAGCATCAAAACAAGTTATCTCCTCCAATTTGGTCTTAAAGAGTCCATGTTTCTCCACAATCTCATCCCAAACTCCTCCTTTCTCCTTCATCATCTCCACCAAATCAAACCCTTTTGCAATTTCATCATCGAACTCCACAAACTGAACCTCAAACACTTCACATAACACTTTCCATAAGCTTTTCCATGTAAAAACATCTCCATTGGTGCAATTGAATGCTTGATTCTTAGCCTTATCAGACAAAGCTGCCCATATTTGTTGTTGTGCCAAGACACTTGCGTCAGTCATATCACAGAAGTGCTCCCATGTGTATCGAGTGCCTAGATATAAAAAAAAAATTAGCAAACTAGTTTATCAATACGAAAATTCTCAAATGCAAACATCTACAAATTTTTAATGTGCACTTCAAGACGTATGGCCACACTTCAAGACGTCCGGCAACAAAAATCGACTATATATAGTTAGAGGTGTTCCAAACCGGTTAACCGATTCTAATATCCATTTTTTCTTGAACCAAACCGATTATAGGGGAAAACCGGTTTTGAATCGAATTGCTTTTCCGGTTAATCGGTTCCTCAAAATTAGTTAACTAATTTTGAATCGGTTTTCCTTAGAACAGTATAAAAATGTATACCAAAACTTTAAAAAAATTCATTAAACCGATTTAGGGCCTTTTTTCCCTTTTGGGCTTTTTAATTTTTATTGCAAAACAGTTAATCGGTTATCAGAATCCACTAAATAGGTAACCGAACTAAAAAATTGGTTTAGAGAAATTCTTGAACCGAAACCGAACCGGCCCATCAAAAAACTATTTTTTCGGTCTGATTGCTTGTTTGGTTCAGTTTATAGATTTCTTTCGAACAACCCTATATATAGTGGAGCTATGGTAGGATTTGGAGGGCTTCCCATCTTGTATTTTAGATTATTTTCTTTATTTAACTAAATTTTATAAATTTTCTTAAATTAAAAGCGATAAAGCTTACATGTTAAACCAAATAATTTTGGTTGTTTTAATTAGTGTTTTGCTCCTCCATAATTTAAGCCATATATATATATTTTAAACAATTAAGAATATAAGAATATCAATTCTATGTCCATCGATCAAGAAAATACATATGCATGAACCAAAGGCTATTTCTAGCTTTTAGTGTTTATAATCAGAAATTTGTCACGTGAAATGGGCCATTTCGTTACCTGGATAGTGAAACGGCAACTTTTGGTGCTTGCAAATGGCGGCATAAACCGCCAATGACAGCAGCGCATTGTACACACTTCTTGAAGAAGCTCCAACAATAATAGAAGAACGATGCACGGAGAACGTTAAAGCCGGCGAATACGAAGCCCCAAGGTCTTCCAAAGCGTAGTAAAAGTTCGGATATGGAAGGCACGACGAGTCCTCCATAAACGGCGGCTCATGGTGCACGAGTTTCCCGGCCAACGACGGGTCAAATATCGGACCCATGTAGTGTTTCGTCCCCGTTTGCAAAGTCACGTGACGCAGGTGAGAAGGAGAGGCTTTGGTGAGCACGTCGAGTACGTTTCTAAGCATTGCGGAGTTCTTGGCGACGTTGAGTTCTTCCGTGTCGTAGAGCTGGAAGGCCACCCAGAAGACGTGGGTGACTTCGTGGGAGATTGGGGAGAGTTTTGCGAGAGTGTCGGTGGAGTTTAATGCGTCGAAGTTGATGAAGTTGTGGAGGAGAGAAGGAGGGAACCAGGTCGGCAGAGGACGGCGGGCGACGCCGTGGATTTTCCATGTGTGACTGTGGTGGCTGTTTAAGGCTTGAGCTAAGCTGAAGCCGGCCATTCCGGTGACGCCGACGATTAGGGCGACTGATGGATTTGAACTGTTAAGGTTTTGATTTTGTTCCATGAGATACAGAGAGAGAGAGGGATAGAGAGAGAGGGATAGAGAGAGAGGGATTGATTTCGTAAGATGAAAGAAGAAGAATGAATGGTTAAGGGATATTTGAGAAGGATAAATGAAATACGAAATTATTGCTTATTAGGCAATGACAACCACTTCGAAAAACCAGAAATTCCCTCAATACGAATAGCTTTTAATGAAATATTTTAAGCAGTCTAATCAAGGAAAATGTGTATTATTTTCAAAATTAATTGAGGGCATCACGGGCATCGCGACAATTTGATGTCAACTTTGTGACTCACCAATCCATCATTACAGCTAAATCATATATATATATATTTTTTAACATTTAATTCTTACATAAATCTTAATTCTAAATTTTCATAATTTTTGAAACCTTTTATTTTATTTCAAATATTTGTTTATTTGATGACAATATATTACAAAGAATGGAGGAAAAAAAAAAAAAAAAAATCAAACAACGAGATTAATCTGAAAAAAATAACATTTTAAATTTGAAATTGGAGAAATGAGATTTTAAAACAAAAGAACTAATTAAGCTTAGGGAGCTATTTTTGACATTTAATCGGGTGTAAATAGACTTTGTTATATATTAAATATGTGTAGTTAGTAATGAGGGATACTAGTAAATTAGACGGGGGCTAAACATAATTTTCTTACAATTTTTTTCTTTTTTTGAAATATTTTCAATTTAAATTCTTAGAAGTAAAGAAGTTTATCTCATTTAAAATTTTAAAATGGTAATATTAATTTTGTGTGTGATTTTTCCATTAAGTTTGGTGAGTGGCGAGGTATTATATTGACATAGAATCAGTCCAACTCTACCTGTTGTCTGACCCAACATAAACTCGTTGACACATAACTTGACCCAGTATAAGCTAGTCGCGAACAACTTGAATAGTCATTCAATCAATTCCTAGATAATTTCAGATCCCATATATTATGGGAATGACCAGATTAACAACAATCTTTACGCAATCAGAGCACCTAATCGCGAGAATATTTGAGTTACAATATAAATCAATTGTAATCCCTTTCCTTTGCAAAACCTTGTATATAAACCCTCTCAAATGATGAAATTTTCCATAGAACTCTTATTGTAAACTCTCACAGCAAATACAAGAACAGTGCACATAGGCATAAGAGGCTACCTCGCTGAACCACTTTAAAAATCTTATTATCTTTTACTTTATTGCACTTATCATTCACCCATTGTTAATTATCTGTAATCACGCCCATCCATTCAGATTCCACTGAGGTCAATTGGATCTCTCTGGTTGGTGCGAATTTTCATATCAATATTTTGATGCTAGAATGAAGGCCTCCGCCAACATCTCAAAAATTTTGGTGAACAACCTACTCAATTCAGGCTTGCAATAATGCGTACCAGATCGAAGACCATCACCGGAAACCACGAAAATGTGGAAACCACCCATCAGGAGGTGCAACAGGACGCCATTAGACATCGACCACCTATGCCACCAACTTTGCATGTCACGAATAACCAGGAGGCAGGGAAGTCACACCCTAAAACGGCTAGCTGGTGGAGATGATCAGAATAATGGCTGCACAGGCAGTGCAACAAAACGTGGTCGAGTTGAAAAATCAGCAATCATCTGCTCAGAACCTCGACCAACCACGCTTCACCAATGCCTCCCTAACAGGTATGAATTCAACGGGTGGCCAGTCTGACTCGCCAGCGCCGAGAGGCGATCGATATCTTTGCCATCAGAAACTCCGCTTCTCTCACAAGTGTGAATCCTGTACGTAAACTAACCACAGGATGCGGCTAGGGAAGCAACCACTGGGTAAGAGCGAAGGTAATAGTCACCCTCAAGATGCTTGACGATATCCCTAGTGTCAGTGTGCTATTCTTAACCCACGCCCGAGACAGACTTAATCCTTGCAAGCTAGCGAGATGAGTCATGTGCGCCAATCCGACAATGATCAACGTTTCTATTATAACTAACGTCGTGAGGAATGCACCGACTAGAATGATAGTATTTATCAGCCTAGCCATCATGAATCGACTTTGCGCATCAACGGGCGCAATGGAATGGCTTCACAAGCTACAAACTTGTGAACTCACTTGCTCAAAGTATGACTGAAACGACCCAGCTAAGGCAACCACAATGAAGATTTAGATCGCATGCAGAAAATGCTCGATGATCTGAGGGCCTGCCAGAACGGCGCAATGGAAGAAATAGTCAGTGCCCCCTTCAAGGAGGAGGTTTGCCAGGCCACACTTCCATAGGGATTCAGGACGCTAGAGAGTAAATTCGACAAGAAAGGGGAACCTCGAGACCACCTCGATAATTTCAATGACTTGATGGAGCTACACCAGGTCTGTGACTTGGCAAAATGTTGTTGCTTCGTAGTCACATTAGTAAGGGATGCCAAGAGGTGGTACAAGAGACTTAAGGCAAACTCCATCAATTCCTGGCAACAATTCTCCTTGTTGTACCTACAACAATTTCTACCGAGGAGACAATTCGCAATACCCCTCAATTACTTGAGCAACATTCATCAGGAGAGAGATGAAACATTGACCTCTATTTAATGAGGTTCCAAAATGAACAAGCAAAGGCTACGGATGCACCCGAGGAGTCCATCTGAACTTTGCTGATTGCAAGCATCAGGCCAAATATGGAGTTATGGAAAGAGCTCTAGAGTGAAGATCACGTGAGCTTGGCCAAGTTTTACCAAATGGCTACAAAACACCAACAAGAGGAAAGCTCACTGGCAACATTAGCTAGAAGCTCGATGTGAGGAGCCCTCGACAGGCGACAAGATAACCCATCAAACAAGTGCGACTGTTAAGACCACAATGATAGGGATCGCAACTGGTCTCAAAAAAGGCAGAGAACAAATAACCACGGGGATATGCAGCCTTTCTTGCAATATGTAGAATATACTCTGTTCACGCAAGACATAACTTATATCTATGAAGTCTCTCATGAGCCAAAGAGATTACCTGCTCCAGAAAGGATAAGGGGGGCTTCAGGTTGAAGGGATCGGCAAAAATATTGTCAATACCATTGGGACATTAGGCACAACACCAATAAGTGTTGGGCTTTGAAAGATGCCATCGAGGAATTGATATAAAGGGGGCACCTAAAGGAATTCGTCAAGGAGGCAAGAGCTAGCAAAGATGCTAGCGAGCAATACAATTATGTCTAGAACTAGATCTAGCAAACCCCAGCGAACACCAACAATGAGGTCCTCGTAGGTATGATCTACGAGGGGCTAGACATAGCGAATAGCTTAAGGCATGCCTGCAAACAGTATGCTTGTGAGGCCAGAACATACTCGGTTCCTTGAATAATGAGTTGTGAACAGAGGTCACCTAAGCGACCTAGATAAGAGAGCGAGGTAGTAGGATTCATAGTCAAGGAATTAGACGAATACCCTCGCCACAATCATAATGCAATCGTAATCGCAACCAAAATCGGTATTACCAAAGTGTTGAGGGTAATGGTCGATAATGGGAGTGTAGCAAATATTATTTTCTTGGGAGCTTTCCGAGGAATGAGGTTCACAGAGAAAGACCTAAAGGCGTGCCCTTCACCATTCTATGGATTTACCAGGGACAACCTTGTTTCCAAAAAGATGATCGACCTCCCCGTGACTTTGGGGGGTAAAACCCAAGGTCCGGACAGTGATGGCTGAATTCTTAGCGGTAGACTGCCCAACCACATATAATGTCATCCTCGGAAGACCGATCTTGAATGACTTGAGCACAGTCACATCAGTGTGCTACCAGACTCTGAGGTTTTTGACTCTTGGGGGAGTTGCAATGATTAGAAGTTACCGAAAGGAATCTCAAGAATGTTACAATCGGGCTATAAATGCTTCACAGAAATGGTCGCTCTCAAGAATAATGGTTATTGCAGAATCTAAGTCAAGCCCTGACCTTTCAAGGATGCCATTGGTCCTTATATCCATAAAGAGTAGCCAACATCAAGGCCAATAAAAGAGCTGTGAGAGATAAGTGTCAGTGAGGAAGATCCAACTCACATACTAAAATTCGGCAGTAGCCTTGGCAAAGACATGGCTGACAACCTGACAGGGTTTTTGAGGAAAAACCTCGACATTTTCGCATGGATGCATGCAGATATGGCAGGGATCAACCCCAAGGTAATGTGTCATAGGCGAACATCACTTGATAAGATAGAAAAGAAGGTCGATAGATGCAGAGTACTCCAGAGCACTCAAGGATGAAGTTTACAAGCTCCTAAACATTAATTTCATCAAGGAAGTGAAGTACCCGGATTGGCTTGCCAACCTAGTTTTAGTTAAAGAAGTCAAATGGCAAGTGGTGGACTTGCATCAATTTCACATATTTGAATAAAGCCTATCCAAAAGATAGCTTTTTGCTTCCACGGATTGACCAGCTAGTAGATGTGACAATTAGAAACGCACTACTTAACTTCATGGATACATACTTAGGATATAACCAAATCCTGATGTACCAGCCTAATTAAGAACATACTTCTTTTATTATTGATCATGGAATTTATTGTTACAAGGTTATATCATTTGGCCTCAAGAATGCTGGGGCAACCTACCAACACTTGGTAAAAGAGATGTTCACTGATCAAATTGGCAAGACCATAGAGGTATATATTGATGACATGCTCGTCAAGTCAAAGGTCACCGAAAGCCACATTGAGCATTTGAGGGAAATATTTGACATCCTTAGAAGATACCAAATGAAGCTCAATACTTTAAAATGTGCTTTCGGAGTAAGCTTGAAGAAATTTTTGGGCTTCCTCGTAAATCAACAGGGTGTAAAAGCCAACCAAAAGAAGATTCAGACTTTACTTGAAATGAAAAGCCCCACCAGTATAAGGCAATAGAAAGCTTGATGGGATGCATGGCGGTACTTAACATGTTTGTTTCTTAAGCCACAGATAGATGCTTACCATTCTTTGAAACCTTGAAGGGGAAGAAAGGTTTCAAGTGGACAGAGGAGTGTAAAAGAGCCTTCTAAGAGCTGAAGAAACATCTGGGACAACTTCTTTGTTGTTAAAGCTC